CCCCCCCCCCCGCCCCGACTCTCAGCCTCTGGGAGGTGAACAGCTTCTCAGAGAGATGGGCTTCCGGGGACCCCTTGTCCACTGGCCGCTTCTGAGCTGGGTTAGTTGCCTCTCCCTAGCCTGAGCTCTCCGGGAGTCTGTCCTCTGGGACCCCTCCCAGAGCGCCCCAGGCCCATGCTGGCCTCAGATTTGGGCCTGGAAAGAGCCCTGGGCTGGGCTGGAGACCTGGGTTCCAGTGCTGGTACAACTCCTAACTCACTGTGAATCTTGGGTGGTCTCACCCTCTCTGGGCCGCATTTTTCCTGCCATCTCCTGAGGGCATTGATCTATTTGACCCCTGAGGGCCCTTCCAACCCTAATATGAACGTCAAGTTCTTTGAGTCCAGGAACCAGGGCTACTCAGCCTAAGCCACGGTGTGGGCTGGGGGTGGGAGTCCGTGACAGGAAGACATGAGGGGGGCCTAGGCAGGAACTAGGGCTCCCAAGGAGGGTCCAGCTCCCTTCCCCCACCTCTCTCCCAGCAGGAGGGGAGAAAGATTTATTCTGGAGTCTGTGAACCTGTTTCTCCCCTCCCCCAGGGCTGGGACTAGCCTGCACAGCTGTTGGGGGACTCTCCCTTGGGGAGCTTAGTCCCACCTGCCAGAGAACCAAGGCATTGGATTTCTCTGCCTGTGTCTGTGTGCCTGCACGTGTCTCTTTGTATGCACACGTGCGTGCACGGTATGCTAGTCATGTACGTGCATGCGTGTATATCTAGACACGTGTCTGTGTATACGCTTCATGTGTACATGTTGCTGTGCAGCTCTCACACCTGTCTCTGAGTCTGGGGCCCCTGCATAAACTCTTTGCACTGGCTGTAAGTGGGGGCTGATGGTGTGTGGGAGGGGCCCTGCCTCACCCCTTATGCCCAAGGACACCAGCCTCCCAATTCCCTGGAACCTCCCTCTGGTCCTTCCAGCCCTCCTTCTCCAGAATGTCCCTCCTTCCTGGCCCTTCCACCTTCTCTCAGCACCACCTGCTGAGGGTGACCCTGCAGACACAGCCTGAGTGGTCTAGACTGGGTGGTGGACCTGTCTCAGAGAGACCTCGCTCACATGGGGGGCTGGAAGACCCTGGGGCAGGGCAAGCCAGGGACGGGCTCCATCCCTTTCCAGAACATGCCCAGGGCTGGGAGCCCACAGGGAGCTCACCCATCCCAATGCACCCATCTGCCTCTGCGACCCACTCACTGTGCTGGCAGCTCACTCCCCGCACGGGAGGGCAGGGCCAGAGGGACTGCTCTCCCGCAGAGCCCAGCAGCCTTCCTGTCCCGGCTGGGATGCCCAAGAGTCCTGGGTTCCAGCACTGTCTCCTCTGTTGTCTCTCAGTGGCCCTGGACAAGTCACACCCTGTCATCTGTAAAATGGATGATCTGTAGAGAGGATTAGACAAGATGACCCCAAAGGTCCTGTGCAACTCGAAGATGCCACATCCTGCTGGCCTGTCCTGTCTCTCTCACTTCTTCTTGCCCTTGTTCCTCGTTCCTCCCCAGATGCAGTGCCCTGCCCCGCCCCGCCCCCTCACTCACCAGAATGACCCCAGACGCCTCCCTAGTGGGTCTCCTCGACTCCATTTCTTAGCCCTGCACCTAGACGCCAGAAGTATTTTCACATCTGCTCTCTCCCACTCAAGAACTTTCACTGGCTCCCTCTTTCTCTCCTTTCAAAGCTGAAAGCTTTAGTCTGACTCCTGTCACTTGCTGGTGTTGACACTCCTTCTGCTTCAGCTCAGTTGATCCAGTCCTGTTTCTGCCACCAAGTGCCAGCACACTCCACTCACCTCACCCAGAATGCCTTCTCCCAGCCGGCCTCAAACTTGCCTTAAAACCCCCTCCCAGAGGGGCTCTAATCAGGCCTTCCCTCCCCATGCTCTAAGAGCTGATAGCCACTGTTTGCACTTGTCATGCCTGCTTATCTGTGTCTGCCTGGGTCCTGTCTGTGTGTGAGTGTGTTTGGCCCCTCCCCCATTGGGCTTCGAGCTCCCCAGGGGAAGGGGTCGTGGGTCCCCCATTGGGTTGGGGCCTTTCGGACGGCTGAGATGCTGATGCGGCAGGATCGACAGGTGTGAGAGAGGGCTCCTGTTACCTGGGGACGCTGCCTGGGACTTGACCTCCCCGTGGACACCCCTCCCACCCCCTCTGGCTGCTGGGCTAGTTGAAAGATGATAAGAGGGGAGGCAGCTGGGTGGGGGAGCTTGAAGGGGCCCTCCCAGGTGGAGCTGGGCCTCCCCCTGTGCTGCTGAGGGCCCACACCCACCTCTGTTCCCTACAGGAAGAAGAGAATGGAGGCCGAGGAGGAGGTGAGGAGTGGCAGGGGGCTGGGCTCCAGGGGCTGGGGCTGAGCTGGGACTGGTCCTCCCACTGGTGTCTCTCCCTCTCCCCAGGTCAGCCTGGATTCTGCTGCGCCCCCAACCCTTGCCTGATGCCCCTGTCTTGGCTCTTCCCTGTGCGTCCGCTCGAAACCTCTGCTCACTCTCTCTGTCCTCCCTTTCTTTTCTCGCAGTTGTCTTCCTCTGGGCCTGTCCATTCCGCGCTGGGGGTGGCGTTCTGGGGAGCAGATAGGTTTCTAAGCTCTGGCCCCTGCCCTGGAGTTACTCCCAGCCTAGATGGAGGCAGAGGCAGGGCCTGCAGGGCCCTCGGGGCGGGAGGTAGTGAGCCGCTGATCAAGGGCTGTCCTTGGGGATAGAGGCATTGGGGTTCTCGGGGCATAACGGGGGCCCTGAGGTCTTTCTCTTTTCAGATGTGAGCCTAACTCCCCTGGCTGTCACCCTTGCTCTCCCAAACGGCTCCTTACTGGAACCCAGGCTTCCCGGGGTATTCAGCGCAGAACCCCTTGAACAGGCAGACTTCCTTCTCTGCCACTGGGGCCTTTGCTGGGCAACCATGGGGCCACTGTCTTCCCGAATCCCCATTGCAGAGGCCTGTGATGGGGGAGGAGCCAGCTGACCTAGAGCAGGCCTGTTTCTCTGGTGGAGACAGTTAACAGTTAGCAGTTAGCACTTAGCAGCAGAGGAGTATTGCTGGGGTGTAACGTGACGTCATGAAGGACCGAGTGCCAGTCCCGGGATCCTTAGGCCTCTGCTTGGAGTCCCCTGACCCTGGGGAAGGGAGTGGGGTGGGAGGTGCAAGTGCTGGGTCTCTGTGAGCCTCAGGGTCTTGCTTGGCTCTCCTTGGGTCTGGGTGTGGACACTCCCTGTGTGTGTGGGTTTTCCTCCCTGCTGTGTATCTTCAGGACTTTCATGGCACCCTTCCTTTGTTTTGTGACTTTGTGTGTGTGTGTGTGTGTGCGCGTGCGCATGTCTGTCTGTCTGCCCCTCTAGACCGTGAGCTTGGGAAGGGCAAGGGCCATGTCTGTCCATCCTCTGTAGTCTACTTTCTAGCACAGCGCTGGGACGCAGGAGCCATTTAAGGAGTGACTCCGTGTGTTTTCATTTTCCCAGCAGTGTGTTGTCTTGTCTGATCCTGTGCATCCGTGTCCCTGTGGATGTGTGGGTCTGTGTTTGTGTCCGTGTGAGTGTGATCACTGTCTGAGTGTGTGTCCCCTGTGTGTGTAGCTGTGCATGGGTGTGACCTTCAGCAGCCACCCCCAGCTAACCTGGCTGATGCTCACCAGGACCCTCCCCCCGGCACCGCCTGGAGCCCATGGACACCATCTTTGTCAAGAATGTGAAGGATGATGGCCCTGCCCATAGGGCGGGGCTTCGAACAGGTGAGCTGTCCCAGTTACGTGGCTCATCGCACAGCTCTGGGTCTCTTCTCCCTACCCTCTGGTTAGGATGGAATTTCGGGATCCAGGTGTTGGGGAGGCTCCTGTCCCCCACTGTTATCCATACATGGTACAGGGGTTCTCAGGTAGGGCCATTGACACCCTTTGGCCTGCTCACCTGTGGCCTTGTCCCTGGTCCCCAGGAGACCGGCTGGTGAAGGTGAATGGGGAGAGCGTCATCGGGAAAACCTACTCCCAGGTCATAGCTCTGATCCAGAATAGGTGAGCGCCCCTGCCTCCCTTCTCCCACGAGAGCCCGCAGCCCACTCACAAGTCCCTACTCACCCCAGCCCCTTGACCCTGGTGGTGCCCTGGCGACCAGGATCCCTGTTCTCCCAGACCCTGTTGCCTCAGCCTGGCCTGACCCCCTGCCCTGTCTCTGTAGCGATGATACCCTGGAGCTCTCCATCATGCCCAAGGACGAGGACATCCTCCAGCTGGTGAGTCCTGCCCTGCTGTCTGAGGTGGAGGACCCTGGGTGCTGAGGGCAGGATGCAGCCCTTCTCCTTGGGCCTTCCTCCTGCATCGGGCCCTCTGGGAGGCGGAAGAGTGAGTGTGGGGGCATCACCAGGCCGGCATTGCCCAACTGGGGATGCCAGGCCTGTCCCCGGGCTGGGGCTGCTGGTTGCTTCAATCGGGGCTGTGCTGGGGGAGGGGGAGGCACTGGCCTTGGCCGGCAGGATTCCTGCCAGGGTGTCCGGAAGGAGCGTGACCCAGCGGGCCCTGCCAGACTGGCACGTTCCTGTGGCTCCCGTGAGACACCTGTTCCCCACACCCCTCCCTGCCTGGCCTCGAGTGAGTGTGTCTCCTATAGATGTGTCCACACACACACAGACACACACACACAGACACACACACACACACACAGTACCTCACTTTTGTGTGCTCCCATTCACACAGCATACCATGGACCACCCAATACATAAGCAGAGAACACTAGATACACAGCTGCACACAGCCCACCCTTCAACTAGCACACCGTACACTGCAGTATGTGATAACGCACACCACCTGCCAGACACACCATACCAGGCACTTACCACGATACACACCACCCCTCAGTGCTACACACAGGCACCCACTACCCCACACCCATGACCACAAATGTCACAGCGCACCACACACTCCTCAGCATCTCAGATCCCCACAACACAACACCGCAGTGTGTTCCACCACATACACCTGGACTTCTCATCACCAAAACACGAACACTTATGACATCACAGATGTTTGCTGTTGTCACAACACGTACGCCCACAGACATCGCAGCCTGCTCCATCCCAGCACAGGCGTGTGCGCTCACCGGTGTCACAGCAACCCGAACTTCCACAATCACGATGCGAGTGCAGATGCCCCTTCCTTCACAGCTAGCACTCGGCGTTCACCCACCGCTCACAGAGCAGGTACCACAGACGCTGCACGCGGTGGACCCTGCACTCACACGTGTACCCGTTTATGCCACGCGCTCCGTGCGCGTCACACACGCACACTCACACACACATGCTGCCTCTCTCTGTTTCGCCCCCAGCTCTGACCCTGTGTCCAGAGCAGTCCTCTCTGCCCAGTACCCAGTTTCCTGGTCTCTTGGATGCCAGCCAGATGCCAACTTGCTTGCCCCCGAGGTCACTGCCCCCCCCCCGGGAGTCAGCCTAGGGCCAAGCCTGGGAGGTCCTGGGAGCCACAGTGCTGGCTTCTGCCCTGGATGTGCTCTCACAATCACTGTAATCACAATGCCATGCTTGGCCCCATGCCCCTCTGGGAACCTCCAACTCGTGACCTCAATTGTCCCCTTGCCCTTCCTGGGGACGGGGAGGCAGGGGTGGGGACCAAGAGGGGTGCGCGGCTCTCCCCAAGTCTCCAGGGCCCTGCCCGTATGCCCTTCCCCAGGCTGAGGGCGACGTGCTGGGGGGGATGGGGTGTGACAGGGCGGGACCTGGGGCGTTGCTCTCTCCAGCCGGAGTGGGGCAGGGTGGGACAGCAGCCTTGAGCTCTGCTGCCCAGGCTCGGGTGGGCAGGCAGACAGACCCAGATGTCAGCATCTGGGGGCCTCTGCTGGCCCCCCTCTCTCTGGCTGGCCAGAGGGTGGGGCCCAGGCATT